TCTCTCTCTCTCTCTCTCTCTCTCTCTCTCTCTCTCTCTCTCTCTTCCCTTGGAGAGTTTTGTATTTACAGCAGCGCTTTGCAGAATCCCTGGCAGGGATTTACTGTGTCTGGACGCTTCAGCATTTAGAGATTTAGAGGTAGACTACAAAACCACACCCCTCTAGCTCCGTGCAGCTTCTTTTGGAGACTATTCAAATGGTCCCCTCTCCTCACTCCGTCTAACCCTAACTGACTAGTATTGGTCCTCCGTTCCTCCCCGCCTTCCTCTCCCTCCCCTCTCCCTCTCTGCTTCACTCTCCCTCTCTCCTCCATAGTTTCAGGTTCCTTTGTCAAGGGCATGGACTTCTCTAGCATTTGGAAATCCTCTGACCCCTGGTTGGTTGCAGGACTTAAGGACAGGCTCATTTGGCTTTTTGGTCACCTTAGTGATAGGTCACTTGGCAAAGAACCTAGACTAGAAGGCAAGGTGGTGTGGCTCTAATTCAGCTGGTGAAGGTTTAAAGAGCAAGGCATGTGTCTAGTTGCTCTCCAGAGACACCTATTTAGGGGAGCTTGACACTAAAACAATGGCCATGCTACTCACATTCCTTAGATGAAATTTTCTCCTATGACAGTCTACTTGCAGCCAGAAAGAAAAAATGAAGCACACATCAAAACTTTTTCTTTGTGCAGTTTCCTTCTTTGTAGATGAAGCAAACACATCCTATAGATGCATGACACGGCACGGATGATTTCCTTCTGTGTAGTAAGGGACTGCTTTAATAATTTAGTTAATTTGTCACATGGCAAGACTGAAGTGCAAAAGTTTGCTTGACTGTTCAGTCAGAAAGCAAAGAGACAGGTCTCAGTAGCACACCCACTGGAAACAACTTGATTTTTTTTGGCAGTGTTTATTCATCTACTTTCTGTGACACAAAATATGTTGTAGAATTGGGGGTTGTTCAGTCCTCTGTACACTGTCAACTAGTTGCCCCGTCCAATAAGAAATGGATTAATTCTTGAATCTTCACCAGTGTGCAACTAATACATGTGTGCCTTTCCATTTGCAAGCCAATGTGTAATTTAGGAACATTTTGTGGAAAAAGTAAAAGTTGATTGAGTCATTAATTAAATGAAATGAACAAAAGGAAGTTGCTATTCAGGATAGCTATTCTTCATAAATACCTTTCTCCTAGATTTTTAATTGACACAGTAGTTAATCTTTTAAGATAATATTTAAGGCTCTCTGGTTTTATCATTTTTAATCAAGTAAAATATATTCATCATAACTACATTAAAGCTGCAGTAAGTTATGCCTAATTTAGTTGCTTCATTAAAAATTACTGCATATAAAATAGTTAAGAAACAAATTGTGACTATATCATTTTAATTTTATGAGCTTCAAGCAGAGTCATAGGAATATTGAAAATTTTAAACCCTTTGTAAACATTGTAATTGCTATTGTCATTATTTCCTATTTCTATTTCTCATTAAAGAGAGATTTTAAAATCCAAAAACTACTTCTTTTATGTATTAAGTTTCTAATGAATTATTGAATCCTGAAATATCTTTTTGTTGCTGAAATATCTATAGCCTTTGAAAAAAGACAGTAAATACATGTATGGAATGAACTCCCTTGTGCACATTTTCATGTGCTTTGTGTTTCATTAATTCAATACTACTCACTTATGTATAAAATATATTTCTTGATTTTCTACAGTCATTTTTTACCTTTTTAAAACTTATTCTATGTGTCTTTTACATCATTTATCTTTATCCTATTCATTTCCCCATCCCTTCTCATCTGCCCTCCACCCCTGCACTCCCCCTTCCCCAAATAAAAGAAAAGTTAAGAGAAAAAAGAAAAAAAGGAGAAAAAACAAACAAGAAAGAGAAAAAATTAAAAATCTCATCATGGAAGCTACAGTATGACACAGTGAGTCACATAGCAAACCACTTTTTCTATCTATCTTTACTTGCAGGTGTTTATTGCAAAGAGTCATTGGTCTGGTTCGAGGCCTCTGCTTCTACTGCACTATCGATGCTGGGCCCTCACTGAGACTCTTTTTGGATATCCTCTTGTTGCCCTGTGTTGTGAATATCCTGCAGCTTTGAGTCAAAACCACTATGGTTATAAATAAAGTCTTATCTCAATTTTCTAAACTCTATATACATGTTGATGCAAAAATATTTATTTTTTATAGTAACGTAAGCACTGATATTTGGCTATAATCTGGTGATCTGGGACATTTGGGGCCCTGCTAAAATTTTTAAAATAGAGTTTGTCAGTGTTTCTATAATTTTTACATTTAATTAAACTGAATAGGACCCATTTGGGAATAAAAAACAAATATTCAAAATTCTAATTAAGGAAGCCAACATTTTCTAAGAACTTGCACAATACTTATATACAATGTGATGCTTTTATAACAATCTCATAACAAATGTGTATATTTCAAATGTTATAACAATAATTTGGTCATAAAATATTCTTGTTCATATATAATACAGTGTGAGTAATTTTATTAGAATAACTATGAAGCTGAGTAATTATAGGCTTTATACTCTGCTTTTGACTCTGGGGCTTGAGGGTGTTTTGTTGGTGGATCAATTTTGATGAATTTCAATGACAATTAGTCACACAGCGCTGTACTCAATCTCCAGCATAAATATGATTTCACTTAGGGCTGAATGTGGATCTGCTCTCTATAATGTTGGCACTCCTCAGGTAAAGCCTTGGAGTGCTAATGATGAGATGTGTCTTAAAGGAAACAGAGCTTTAAGATAAGCCAGCCAGGTAAGGTAAAGATGGCCTTTAGGATGATGGCAACCTTAAAATGCTTGAAGAAAAAGAGAAAGCCATGGTTCATTATATTTAGCACTTGGTTAGTCTAAACACGAAGAGTGTTTAACTAGTTATAGACCTTGGAGGGGTGTTGGCAATGCTGACGTCTGTACTAGGAATGACTGAAAGATTGCCTCTGTTTAGTTCAGGAAGCTGTGACACTAGGAAAGTTGAAGATACACACACACACACACACACACACACACACACACACACACACACACACCTTTAAATATTATAAAGGCCAGTAAAAAAGAAGAATTCACATTTGAGTCTATTAAATATGGAAAAATAATGTACTGAGGTTCACGTCCCTGAATGCATTCAAGAAAAAGGATGAAAGAAAGGTTCTGATGTGCCTGGCTCTGCCTCCCTAGTGCTGATATTAAAGGCGTGCGCCACATAGCTGATCGAGATCCAGGAGGGGCACCAAAACTACACAGAGAAACCCTGCCTCGGTTCTGAAGAAGATGCTTGGGCATACATTTCTGTTCTAAATTGGACTTTGTCTGGAATACCTTTAAAGGTCCTCTGGGGACTCCAGACCCGCACTGCCATAGCAGTTGCATCGAATAGTAGTGCTGGGCTTCCTACAGGAGAAGGTAAGCCCTGAGGGTACAAAAGCCTAGGATTCCTGGCGTCTAGGAGTGCTCCTGGGATACCACACATCCTGGGCGATTGTGGGCAGATGGAGAGATTTTTACTCAGTGGATGCTGATGGCAAATGGAGACAAGAATTACTTGCATTTTAAACTTTTCAAAATTGGGGAAGAAAATATAAAGGTTGAAATGGCTTACATGACTATAAAAGTAAATTTACCTACTTATACATTTATTATTAATTTGCATTTTATTCATAGAATCTTTATAATCTGTTAGTATTTTCAGTTCTTCCTTTTAAAGTAAGGATACATATTTGACAAGTATTGAAAGTGAAAAGGTAAAAATATGCATTTTTTGTGCATTACAAAAAATGAGAGAAGGTAGCATGGGCTAAATAAAACACAAATTAATCCCAATGTGCAGAGTAGAAATGAGGAAGACAAAGTTCAGGGAAAGAAAAACAATACATAAGTGAAAGAAGAGAGAAAATGAATTAATATTTGCTTTATTGGACGAATCATCTCGTTTCTCTTCCTCTATAGAGCATGGCTGTTCTGTGTTATATTCTCCACACCAACCCCAACTAAGCAACAGAGGCTTAGGAAGCTAAGTGGATTGTTAAAGAGCACAAACCTGAAAATGCTGGATTCAGAGTTCAAGCGAAGATATAAAAAAACTAAGATGTAAATTCCAAGAATGTGGGGCCTGCTTTGATCATATTTATTTTAGTGCTAAACAGACAGAGTGTAGAATTTCGCTTGGTAAAAAGTGGATGGTTAAAATACACAAGTGAGTAAAGAAACAGACACCTGAGCCCTGGCCCTGCACAGTACAGCCTTTGCAGGGTCTGTTCACTAAATGCCAGTCAATGCAGGACAGTGAACCTTGACTTGGGAAATAAAAGGATAGGATGAAAAATTTATCAAAGAATAATAGACCAATTGGGTTCATCATACAAATTAGAGAATAAATTTGTAATAATCATTTCATATCAGAGATAGTGTCACCTGGAATTAGGCTTGCACCAGTAAAAATGAGGTGAGTGGGAAGGCGAGTGCGATTTTGGACACATTCTGCAGGTGGAAACTCTGATATCTCCTGATGACTACAGGGAGCAAGGTGGTGAGGGTGGAGAGGATCTAACCACAGCTTAATGAGTCAGGAGGGTAAAGAGCTTGGTAAGAATGAGCATTCCCTGAGAACAAGCGTGGTGAAGAGGCTCTTTAAATAGGAAACCACTGAGACAAGCTTGAGTTTTCTGTATGTCATCCATAATATCCAGCATTATGAGGTGCGTGTGGAGCTAGAGGGAAATGTGGGTTAAAGTGAGAGTGAGAACCAGAAGGTATTCAAACGCCGAGGAAAACACAAACACTGTGCAATTGGAGTGGAAATAAGTACAAAAAGCACTAGAGTTCCATTTATATGTATTCATAAAACACTGTGGACAGAGACATTTTTTTGTAAATAAAGCTAGTTCTTTATGCTACACAGAGAAAATATGTATGTATTCTTTTGTATATAATTAAAAAGTACACATTTTGAATGGTGGAAGATTCCCAAGCAAATTAATAGACTGGGGAAATATTTGCAACATAGCCAAGAGAAAAAAGACTAACAGTCTTCATAAGCAAATCAATACAAATGTACAAACTGATTAAAAAGCTATCAAAACTGGTACTGGTAAAGGAGAAAGGGAGTAATGACTGTGATAATTTTTTCTTTATGACTTTATCCTTCATTTATAGCCCCACCAGTGCTGTTAATAGGTGGTTTTTCAGGTTGCTTGGCAAAACTTTAAGGAAACTTTTTCATGTTTGGTAAAATATGAATTAAAATACAAATGTAATATTCTGTATAACTTTATCGTGGCTAATACCCTCCAAGATTTATCCTGAACTATTTCTTCTTCTTTTCCTTTAGTGCCTACTCAAGCTAAGCTATTAACCCTTTCCTGCTTGCACAGGGAGAATGTTCTCAGGTTTTTTTCTGGCCACATCTAGTCTTGCTTCTACTCCATCAATTTCCCAGGTATTTGAAAAGAACTTTCAAAAGTCTAAGTCGAGGATAGTTTTCTTGTAGCATTAAAAGAATAATCCACACCCCTTATCTTGGCTCAGAATATGGACTAGGGATTGCCTTGAAACCCTATATAATTATTTAAAGTGCCCCTATCCTTTTCAGATGTATCTCAGTCTGGGTATCACATAAGAGGGTTACCCTAATTCTGAATTTCAGTTGGCATAATGTCACGTTATTTAGGGGAAATGTCTCCTAGTCAAAAAGCACTTGTTTGTGAGTCTTTGTCATAGCATATGTTTGTTTTCTCTATAGCGCAATCAGAGTTTTAGATTATGTATTTTAATTTATTGTTATCAAATCAAAGGTATAAGTAAATTTTAACCCATTTTAATTCTAGAATACAAGGAAGCACTTAGTATTTTTTTTTTACCTTTGCCTGAATAATGCCTGATACTTAGTATATGCTTAGTAAAATGTTGTTGAGTGAGTCCCTAACTTGGACTAGGATGAAGGGACACAAGAAATGCTATTTTAAATATTGTTTCACACATTTGCTAAGATGTCTCTCTCTATCACATGGTTACATTAAAAGCCATGTGGAACAAAAGTTGTGCTTTTCAAAGCAACTGACATGTATAGTAACAGTTAAGTGCATTTGTTCTGGAGTGAAATGAAACAGTAAAAAGAGCAAACAATTTTTTTAAATCTCACATCTAATTAGCAATATAGCTTTTAGCTGGTTACTTAACCTATTATGTACCATATACTTGTACTCAAGTTACATTCTTACATTGACTTTCTAACCCTCAGTGGGTACCCAGAGATTAAGACCAGAAGGTTTTAGGTGGTTATTTGAATTGCATGAGGTCATGAGGGTAAAGCTCCTATATCTATTTCTTCTTTCTCAGGTGGAAATACAGCAAGAAGGCAGCTGTCTGTAAGCTCAGAAGAAGGCCTTCATCAGGCTTAGAGCTGGCCAGTGTCTTTAACTGCAACATCTCAGCTTTCAAAACTGTGAGAAAAAAGTTTGTAGTTTAACCATCCTTTTTGTGTTTTATTGTTACAATGCACTGAGCCAATTAAGACACTATCTGGAACTCCAGTGTGTGTAAACACATGTGTGTGTGTGTGTGTGTGTGTGTGTGGTGGTGGGGGACTGGGTGTGAGGTATGGGCAGTGCGCAAATAAGGCTAATAAATCCAAAAAGATAAAAGGAGATATAATGACAGTGCTCGCCGGGCGGTGGTGGCGCACGCCTTTAATACCAGCACTCGGGAGGCAGAGCCAGGTGGATCTCTGTGAGTTCGAGGCCAGCCTGGACTACCAAGTGAGTCCCAGGAAAGGCGCAAAGCTACACAGAGAAACCCTGTCTCGAAAAACCAAAAATAAAATAAAATAAAATAAAATAATGACAGTGCTCAAAACTTTATAATTACTATTTGCTTTGGAAAACCTGTTTCATAAATTGGCAAGCATTCAACTTTTTTAAAGGAATTTTTAAAAATTCATTTTACATACCAACCACAGATCCCCCTAACTTTCCTCTTCCTGTCCCTCCAGCCTTCCCCACCAAACCCAACCCCCCCTCCCATTCCCTCCTCCAACAAAGTAAGGCCTCCCATGGGGAGTCAGCAGATCTGGGTACATTCAATTGAGGCAGGTCCAAGTCCCTCCCCCTGCCTCAAGGCTGTGCCAGGTGTCCCACCATAGGTAGTGGACTCCAAAAAGCCAGCTCATGTACCAGGGATAGATTCTGATCTTACTGCCAGGGAGCACCTTAAACAGATCAAGCTACACAACTGTCTCACTTATGCAGAGGGCCTATTCAAGTCCCACGAAGGCTCCACAGCTGTTGGTCTAAAGTTTATGAGTTCCCACTAGTTTGGTATGGTTGTCTCTAGAAGTTTCCCCATCATGAACTTGCTCATAGAATCCTTCTTCTCTCTCTTGGACTAAACTCCTGGAGCTCATCCTGGTGCTTGGCTGTAGATCTCTGAATCTGCTTCCATCAGTTACTGGATGAAGGCTCTATGGTGACAGTTAGGGTATGCACAGATCTGACTACTGGGGCAAGCCAGTTCACACACCCTCTCCACTATTGTGATTCCTAGATGAGCGATAAGGAGATGAAGAGAGGTCTTATTACACTAGCAGTCCCTTCTTGCTGCTTCTGAGCTGCCCTAGCCTGAGCTGCTTCAGTTTTCTACACCCACCTGTCATAGTATACTGAAGCCTCGGAAACTCTCTTCTTCCTTAACTTGTTTTTCTCATAGGATTAAGACAGCAATGGAAGTTTCTGGGCTCTGATGATATAGGAATATCTGTGCTGCTTTACTTTAAAAATATATTTTTTCTTTCTGGTGACTTTGTTTTTAATATTTTATTCACACTATTCCACTGTTTTGTGTTTTATGTCATTCCGAGTAAGAGTCAGCTGTCATTGGAAGACTGTTCCCTTGAAGAGAATGAATCTTCCTTTAGCGTCCATTTGTGACTTTTTTTGTCACTGTTTCTCAGCTGTTTTACTGTGATGGACATAGGAGTGATTTTTATTTCCTTCTCCTTTATTTTTTTTTTTTAATAAGAGAATTTCTTTGAAAAAGATTTTATTTTTATAGCGTGTGTGTGTGTGTGTGTGTGTGTGTGTGTGTGTTTGCACACACAAGTACTGGTACTTGTGGGGGCCAAAGAAGGTATCAATTCCTCTGGAGGTGGAGTTACAGGTGGTTGTGAGCTGTCTGATATAGGTGCTGTAACCAAATTCAGGTCCTCTGGAGGAGCAGCAATATGTGCTCTTGACAGCTCAGCCATCTCTCCAGCCCTGGGTGTAACTTTCTTTTCATTAGCTGGAGTTTGCAGCACTGTTTACTTCTATGGCTTACATAAAAATTCATCAGTTGGAATACTCTTGATACACACTCTTTTACATGGCTTATCCACCTTTCGCTTTACTTTCAGGATGGACATGGTATTTCATACACACTAGAAGTTTTCGTCATGTACCACATACCTTTCACACTTCAGTGTAATTTATATTTATATGCCTTCCCAGACTCCATCAGAACATTTGTTAGATAACTTCCATCTAGCTAATATTTCTTCCTTACATTTTGTTGCTAGACATATTATTAAGTTGTTTTATTTTAGTTACTGCATTGTTTTTTGTTTGTTTGTTTTCTTTTTTTGTCTCAGAATTTTCACTTGGCTCTCCTATATACATTCTAGTTATCTAGTATAAACTTTCATCTCATTTTCTGTTTTCTTTAACATATGAATATAGAATTAGTTAGTCCATGTCTGACAATTCATATCCGGGTCATTCTTTTACTTTGTGCATTATTTGTTTTTTAGGAAAAACATTTTATTGAAATTATAGGTATAATCTATAAAATTTAAAACATCCATGAATAATATAAATTCTACTTTTTATGGTAGTTGTCTAATTAGATTTTGTGTTTGCATATCTGAATATCCTGTGCTAAATAATTTACAAAGAGAAGTGGTTTATTTGGTTCTTAATTTTTATATCCACAGAGTTCGTTCAATGGTGCCACCATCTAGCTGTATTGTAACATGAGGGAGAGGGGGAAGAGGAGATGGAGGTGTACAGAAGAAAAAAGAAAGCAAGGACATAGTAGGCTCTTTCACAACTGCTTCCTTCAGGAACAAGCTTGGCCAGCCAAGAACTACACTATCCAATCTGAAGGTGGGTTCCTCATGGTTTATTAATCTCTTAAAGGCTTTACCACCTTTCAAAGTTCAAACACCTCTAAACAAGTTTCAGCATATGAACCTTTGGACGAACTCCAAACTTTGGACCATGGAGATTGCCTCAATTATGGGAAAAATTGGAATGAACAATGAAAGGAGAGATGAGGGTAATTTTGAAGATTTGAATTTGAAAAAAAAAATGTTGAAAGACAGGTGCCTGTATACAATTTGATTCAGCATTTTCTACTAAGATTTGAGAATGATTTTTGTGTTTACATACCTCAAACATCAAAAATGGGGCTTTATTTTATAAATCACTAATATCCTTCTCTTGTTTTCAACCTGACTGTCCAAATCAGACCAATTCTTAGTAAAAAAAGTAATTTTTTATTTTTGCTATTGTTCAGTAGGGTAATGGGAATCCATTTTCCTTTGAGATTTCATAATGTGAAAACCTGTCCTTATGACTTTCACCCATATTTCTTTCCTTGGGATAGAGAATGGAAGGCTAAATGAAGCCATGTGAAGAAACAAATTATGATCACCAGGTCTTCTGTAGGAAAAATGCACACACGGTGAGATTTCCCCATCTGAATGCTTGGCATACATGAGGCCTAACAGCCTTTAGACTGATGATGCACATATGTAATTTGAAAATTTAAAATTCACTGGCAGAGACCAGGAGATGTTTGTGTTAATGAACCATGTTTTTTTTTGAATCGGAAGAGCCAAGGGAGACCTAATTCCTTCACATATGGAAGCTTGAAGTATCTGTCCAGAGAATGAAAAGATATGAATGCACGGTGCACCCTGAAAATAAGGGCAAGGTACTGTGTTTGAATCAATTTTGGAGAAGTTCATCTTCCTCTCTGGAAGAGTGTTGGGAGTAAACCAAAAGATCAGTGTGCTGTTTTACAGACTCAGAACATGTATCAATGAACTCCCTAGTGGGACACTTAGCATCTCAGTCAGTTCATATAAAAAGGTGGAGACAAAGTTTTATTAGAATGTAAGTTCTGTTAAATCAACAACCAGGACTCAGAAGAAAGACACAGAAGAAAAAAAAGTAACAAAACAAACCAAGCAAAAACAAAACAGAAAAACAAAATAACAAACGCAGAAGAGATGAAAAGTAACAATAAAATAACAGAAAGAGAATGAGAACAAGGGGTTAAAAAGGCTTGAGAGAGGCATGGAAGTGACTCATGTGTCTTTAATAGACTCAGTTAAGGTGCACTGTATATATATTTCATTGGACATGTTTCAGCTTAGTCATTTTATGGAGAGGAAGGAGAAGCAGGGCTAGAACTGGAAGATGGAGAGGAGCAAAGGAAGAAGAAAAGGGGGAGGGGAACCTCAGAGAGAGACAGAGCAGGGGAAGCTCGCTGTGCTTACTGGCTTTGCAAGGGACAACCTATCACTGAGGACTAGAATCAATTGCCTGGTCCCCAGAGGAGAGGTACCTACATTTTCATTTGTTTCTTTGTCTTTTTGGCAATCAAGTCCCTGTGGTGTTCTCACAATGACACCTTTAAACTACCAAGTCCTTGTCTTTTAACCACAGTGGTCTGTCTGGGGAAGACAGCAACGGGCTATTCTGCTTGGAATAATTTAATACACACAGTGCAGATAGGAAACCAGAAACACAGAATGATAGCTTCAGCCCTTCAACAAAAGATGCAAAATGGGTTTTGCTTTTTATTCCCTGTAAAGAAACACAACCAAGAATTAAGCTGCTTCTGAAATTATTTCAAAATTTATTTCAAAAATTATTTATTTTAGTAAACTCATATTGTTTATTTACAAATTCTTTAGAACTTAAACAGTAAAGTTGGTTCAAGGTACAGCTATATGTTGAAAGGGAAAACAAAACAAAACAAAAAAAAGCCATCCAATTCCCATATCAGTGAATTGGTAGATGCACACTAATGTGAGTGAATCTTTCCGACTACTATTGAATTGACAAATGCACAATAAATGTTTCTTCTTTTTCTTTTCCAAGTGATGGAAAGTTTGCACACTCAGTGTACCAGGTACAGGAATGAAATTGTGTCGTTTTTCCCCCTTTCTTTTTTTCCTTCCTTTCTTTTTTTTTTCCTTTTGGCTTTTTGAGACAGGGTTTCTCTGTGTAGTCTTGGCTGCCCTGGAACTCTCTCTGTAGACCAGGCTGGCCTTAAACTCACAGAAATCTGCCTATCCCTGCCTCTCAAGTGCTGGGATTAAAAGTATGTGCCACCACTGCCTGGCATGAAATTGTACCTTAAAGGGCCTAAATTTCCCGTGCTGTGATTTTCAAAGGGTGATATAATCAATGTTGAAAGAGAAACATGCAGCTTGGAAAATACTTGACTGTGTCACATTTTCACATATATACAGGCATGTCTACTGAGAAGGGTTACATGACTATTTTATGCTTTTAAACTCGAGGGTAAGTTGAAAAAGAACTGTAAAGATTTTCTTAAAGTGTTTCTATCTGCCACTTTTGCTCATGAAGATAACTGATAGAATATCAGGAAATGGGGAGTAGACTGGTGCTGGCACCTCACCTGTGAAGGGGTCCAATTTTATTACCAATTTCCAGCAGAGGGCGCAGGGTTGGTGGCAGAAATTGGGTTAGCAACCACCAGCCAACACTAGGAGTCTTCCTTGGAACTAGAGAAGCTGATGGGACAGACATGAGGACAGACTTTGCCTGTGAGAAGCTAACTGCAGATCATCAAGTCAACATTTCAACTCCAAGGTCACTGGCCTGGAAATTAAACATAACAAACTGTGTTCATTAGCCATTAGAGCAATTATTCTAGGCTAGTCTATTTTATTTTTATTAAAATATACTACAAATGAATAGGAGTTATTAGGAAGTTCAATCATCTCTTATTTTAAGCTTTTTCTTTAACTAAGAAACCAAGAGTAGTTTCTATAATATGTCCTAATCCCCCCCTCCACCCTCACCCCCCCACACACAGATGTCTCTCAATACCACCATCCCTCCTCTGGCAAGTCCATGTTTCATTTAAAATTTGAAATCTACAACTTTAGACTGTTTGTAACTTGGTCTTTTTTGCCTTGGAAGTTTGCCTCTCTAGTGGAATAGCCCATTTTCTCACTAGCTCTCAGAGTGCTCAAAAAAGAAATGCATTTCTGCCCCTAAAGGTGTAGAGAACTTGCATTAACAAAAGGACAGTAAATGGAAACATTAGAATGCCTGAGGAAAAGGCAGGCAGGTTTTGATCTGGTGGATGGTGATGAGCAGGCTAATTCACTATCTGGTCAAAGATCCTAAAGAGAAAAATGTGGGGGTTGCAGTAACCAGTGACTGAGTAAAGGCTAACTTCGAAAGGATAGGGCTGCCTAAGAAAACATAGTTTTAAATGGAGAATTATTGTACATTTACAGATGAGTTTTTCATTCATTATTGATTCAAGCTGACCACCCACTGCAATACTTAAAGTATTTTAACAGAGGTCAAACCATGAGCAATTTTGAAGATGATGAAAATTATAAAAAATCAGAAACAATCATATTTGTTTAAATAGACACACTTTGAGAAAATATTCCAAGATGTACACAACACTGAAAAGTCATCTTTTTATATAAATTTGCTTTCTAATATATGTAAATAATTATAAGAATTTTTAAGCAAAAAGGAAGACCCCCCCCAAACAGATGCAGAAATACATGAAACAAACTATAAAACTAGAATTTACTGATATAATGGTCTTAAGGGTTATGTTTGAACAAACATTTTAATGAACATATTTTAGAAGCCATTAAGTTCACAGACACACACACACACACACAACTGAGCACAAAGTATTAAATTTCCATGTACCCTGCCTTACCCCCACTTTTTAAAGTGTCCATTATTACTAACATCTTGCAGGTTATCCTATAAGATCCATGATTTCCTGAGCTCTGAGTAGTTGGGTAGAATATCAGTACCAGGCACGCTGGCCCTCTTGTTGAGTGGGTCTGACATCCAATTAGAGAGCTGTTGGTTACTGCCAAGGTGTGTGTGCCACTGCTGCATCCTGTCATGCTGGTCATTGTTGTGGATTACAGGCATTACAGCTGAGTAGAACTGGTGGTTGCTTCTGTCCTTTGGAAGCTTCCATGGTGCCTTTTGGTACAATGAATGCTAGTCCTCAGGAAGGAGATATGTAGGCCACTTCCAGCTCCAAGGCCTCTGGTCCCTGTGTCTGAAATACAGGATGTCTTCAGCAATAGGGACACTTACCTTTCACATCTGGAGACAACCAAGAGCAAACGCATTATCATATAATACTTCGGGAATCTCTTGGATAAGCTTGACCAACAACTCAAAAGGGGTTCTCATGCCTGGTATCGGGGTTTTTGTTAGATGGTCTATAGCTCTTGGAGGGAATGTTGTTAGTCCTGAGGAGAGAATTTATTTAAACTATGTATCTGTATTTTTCCAGTAAATATACTATAGATTTTTTAATATAGATAGTATGATTCCTTATGGTTTTTTTCAGACATCCTTATTCTTCTTCTATCCTCCTTCCTTTTTCTTTTGTATTTATCTTTTCCCTTCTGTAACTGGAACTCTCCATTTCCCCCTCAGATCACTTGCTGCGTGCTATCCCCTCTCTGTTGCTGCCCCACCTTCATGTGATGGCCCTTTCTTACTTTTTTCATTTCATCAATTACTCCAGGTTGTGTACTCACTTCGGAAGACTTGGAACTAGGATCTTCAGATGAGAGAGAACACTGCTAACTACATTCTAATTATTTGTTCTTATACCCACAAATAGATGTAGTTCTTACTCCTCATAACAAAACAAAACAAAAAAGTTTATTTGTTGCAAAGACCATTAAAGAAAACTACAACCAATCAAAATGCAGAGTTGTGGAGCTCAATCTCAACTCTACCACACAGCACCCAAGGCTCTGGGACTATTTCAGAAGAGGGGAGTGGAAGGATTGAAAGGTCCAGAGAAACAGAGCGGTTGCTGTGAGATTTTTATC